CTATCTTATACACTAAATAGGACAACATTTTTCTTAAATTCTGTGAAGGGTATTTAAATGATATTCCAATAGTTCATTACTCCATCCTCCTCCATCTAGTCCACAAGAAGACCTCACGTTAACCACTCAGTTATATCAAGCAATGTCTCTAGTAATAAAGATACTACCTGTTTAATATATCTAAGCTGTTTTATCTTCCTGTCAAAAGCTATTTTCTGCAGTGCCTGAATAGAACAGCTACAGAAACGGGAGTTTTACTTTACCGTTTGAAAGCAAATAATAACCTCAGCAAATACAGACACAACACATGCAGCAGAATTTTGGAATCTCAGGTCTTTATAGCCCACTGTATCACATCAGCATTACATACACTTAAAAAAAATTAATGACTTAAACACCTTGCCACGTTAATGAATGATTCTTCACTTCCTGGATAGGAACATGTGAGACTATGCAGCAGAGAGGACTGAAGCATCTTCTAATCTGGTCATACAGATACATGAAGCATACTTATTAGTACCATATGCCTTCCTGACAGTATTTCAGTTTTACTGTTCTGCCTTCATAAACATCACTCTTACCATTCACGTGTAGCTGCCTGCCCAGCCCTGAAAATTATTCACTTTTGAAGGTCTACAGACAGCATTACATAAGAACTGTATTTAGATCCTTGAAGTACTGATATTTTAAGATCAATCTACATATTAAAAGCATGAAGAAGCTTTCATTTTAAATAAGGTTGGAAAAAAACAAAAAAAAACCACCAAGGTTAGAATCTGGATTTTTCAAGTCTCAGCCTCTCACCAGTCAGCACGTTAGTTTCACTCTGCCTCATTCCATTCCATACAATGAACAAACCCAAGGAAAATCTCAAGTTTTATTATTAAAAAAAAAACACCTTCCTTGAAAAGGCTATTTTCAAGATCAAGAGCTGCTCACTTACTAAATGGGGACAGAACAATAGCATTTCTAGAAGCAAGCAATTTCTACAAGTCTAACGCTCAGTTAGGTTTCCTTGAATAGTATTTTAGTAAGTTTTCTTAGAAAATTGAGGCTTCAGCTGTCATACTGACAGTTCCTCTCAGTAATTGACTTCATTGGTGAATAACAACAGAGGTGATAAAACCTAAAATCGGCTGCTCTGCGAAAAAGATGGACAATAGGAAGGGCTGTGCTTGAGGAAAAGATGGGTCCAGCAACAACTTGTTAAGTCTGTCCTACCAGCTGGTCAGTAAGCACTTGGGCACCAGTCAGCAAAACAGCACATGCAATACCTCTGGCTGAACGTATTCTTCCAGTGCTTCTTGCTTGGTCAGTAAGAGGATGAAGCGAAGGATAAACTTCTAAAAAAGTCTGAAGATTATTTAAGAACAAAAGACCAGAGGAAACGGAAGAGAAATTCACCAAAGTAAAAAAAAAAAAAAAAAAAAAAAAACACTTCATGCAGTTTCATTAGTGAAGTAATTTTTGCTACACATTTTGTTAGAATTGTAATCAAATAAAATCAGATAAAATTTCAGTGAAATTTCAGATTTAATAGCACTTCTGTAACAAACTTTCTGCTAAACAAAATATTTAACTGAGTTCAGTAATCTAACATTAAGTATTTCTAAGTAAATCTCACAGTTCAGCAATAATGTATCACTGAGCTGCAGGCACACCTTCACCGCATTCATCAGCTGATGTATACCCAAATCCATGCATACACGTAGGCCTACTTTTGCAGCCCAGTGACAAACTCAGCTTTTTCTGTAATTAACTGAATCATTCCTCTGGATTTTTAAGACATATCAAATGTTTCTCAGCATTGTACGAAGCTGCCCTGCTCCAGAGAACTGAGCAGAAAGGCATCCATCCTTTCAACGCTTGTCTGAAGCTAAGGAAAGGCACAGGAAAATTACCAACATTCACATGCTGATATTAATCTTTATCTGACGGATAACTCAACCTGAACGCAGATTCTTATCAATGAGACAGCAGATAAAGAGCTCACTCAAAATCAGCGGGCAAACTTTCGCACAGCAGTAGAAACACAGCTCGAATCCCAGGAATAAAATGCAATGAGTACATCTGCAGTCATTCCAGACTTTGCAATGCACTCTCATTACTAATACCACTGAGCAGAAAATGCCACCTGGTTATTCTAAATATCAGTGTGCGGTTTGCTTTTTTGGTTTCTGTTCTTGGGTTATCTTTTGGTTTCTTTTTTTTTTTTTTTAATGGGGGGTGGGGGGGAGGAGAGGGGAAGTTGGCAGGGGTGCAACTGGTTTGAAATGCAGTACCAAGTGAACTTGCATTTCAAAAAAGCTGACCAAAATTCAACTCAAGTTTCAGGCATCATTATTCAACATCAGATTTGGTTTTTATTTCGTTTCAAATCCCTACAGATTTCCTACAGTAATACTCCAAATTATTTATTCTCTTTTCTTGGCAGATCTCTCAAAATAGATTCAAAGTACTAGTATTAGAAGTAGCTGAACAGCGGTCATGTCTTGATAGCATGCAAGATTCTCCTGCTCAAACGTCACATCTGCAGTTTACTTCATAGTTCATAACACCAAACCAAAATAAGACAGACAATACATTGAAATTAGACAACGATAAAGATCGTACTGAAAGAGGAATTTGATCACTTAAGGAATTTCAGGCCCTCACCACACCCTCTTATTTATTCAAATTTGCTAAAGAGGAAACAAGAAAAAAATCCCAAGCCTCGGGGCATAACCTGAATGAAATGTTAGCAAACCTACCTACAACAGGAGAATCACTACTGAACACACCTTCCTCTTGTTTAACCAAAGACTAAGAACTCAAGTCCCTCAGATCCTTTCTTCTCTCACAGGAAATTTTACAACATAACAGTCTACAAGACAAGATGATGCCAACTTCCCTAGGTCTTCAGTGACAAAACTGGAGTCTCCGTTCAGGACACAGGCAGAAAGTAGAGCTCAGAGTGCTGTACAGTGTACTGTTTTATAGAGAATATCACTGAACAGATATTGTTCTGTCACAGTTACTACCTGTAAATCTGACCTGCACCCAGCTCCTTCCAGATACTCCACCATCCCATAGCGCACACTCTTCAGGCTTTTCTGTGCCTCCCCTACCATAGGCAACTGCCTGCCTAGCTGGTCAGCTTAAGGATGTACATCATGTCCCAGCTGGTTTCTAAGGGGCAGCAATAATTTCGATCGATAGGCTGAGGGACCTGTTGGACTACATGTGGTGTCATTGTTTTTGCTGTCTACTCCACTGCAGCAAGAAATGTCATCAAAATGATTTTTTACTATCACCAGAAATAAGAAATGGCACACTGAGTGGCGTGGCTCCCTTCCTACCCAACTCAAGCAGCAGGCTACGAAATTACCATACAAAACTCCCTCTCAGCATCCCTGTATGTTCAGCGTGGACACTGAAGACGAAACTTTGCACGATTAAAACCAAAAACACAGCGCTGATTTAGAACTAATGAACACAAAGGGCCCCCACTCCCGCAACTACGTCTGCTCCAAAGGTACAGGAAAGGAGCAACGAAAAGCACACGTGCAGATTTGATTGTGCCACTATAACAAGAGTAGCCCAAAAACAATGACAGAGAAAGAAACTAGTACACCAGCTCTGAAGTGTATGAGAAAGACGTAATGGGGCTGCACTGCCAAAAACCCCCTGCAACTGATTCCTGTTATTTCCTTAACCTACAAATTGAGACATTCACAAGAGATCGAGATTCAATTCAGAGTTTGATTTTGTAGAAAACAAAAAATGACGACCCTAAACCTCAACAACAAACCTGCTGTTCTTCCAGAAAACTACTCCCATACTTGAGTGATTTCATGTAAAAATCCACATGAAAACAGAAAGGAGAAAAAAGAAAAAAAGAAAAAAAGAAAAAAGCCCCGCCACCTTCCTACCTCACAGCAAGCCTGGAACAAAAAACTCCCCCAAGTCCTGAAGTCTCAGAAGTCAGGCAGAAACCAAAAGAACAGACTTTTTAAAAAAAATTTTCCTAAGGCTTTCAGATGCTCTGCATGATTTGGGGAACTGACTCACGGGGCTTTTATTCAACACATGAGGCTGGACCCAGAGATGCCACACTCCTGCAACACGGGCGTTTCCCCATCTACTGAAATTTAACCTAACATATAAACAAAGGACGTACCTGTACCAAAACAGATAACTCTTCACACTTAATAAGGAAACTATCTTAAGAAAAGTAACGATTACTATTTTTTGTACTAACTACAGCATAGCCCAAAGCTTCCTTAAAGCCAAATTGAAAAGGAAAAGAATAAAAGAAGTTTCTAAAACTATTCTGAAGCGCTTATTAGTAAAGGAGCCGACGTATTCCACTCTTACATCCCTTTTTTCCATCTTATTTTCCGTTAGACTGTACTACACGCGCCCAAAAAAGCCAGCAAGCAAGCCGTGCTCCTAGAAGTGCCCAGCCTCCGGGCTGAACGATAGCTGGGAACCGGGCTGTGCCTTCCCTCGAGCCTCAAGCTAGAGCCTCGGCAAAACGAGACGTACAGAACCTACAGAAACCACCTGCGTTTGGCATTAAACCATTCATCCAAAAATGACTAAGTCTCACACGGCCGGGCCCGGCTTCATCCAGCACACGCTCAGCCCCGGCGAAGGGCCGTTCCCTCGCTCCTTTCAGCAAGGTGGGATCTTCCCTTGTGTGTTCGGCGGTAACCTCAGCTCGCCGCCCGCAGCACGTACACCCGCGGGGCCGCAGGTACGGCGCGCCCGCGGAACAGCGCCCGGCCCCGAGCCGCAGGCACGGTACGAGGCGAAAGAACCCGGCCGGCATCCCTCCGGAACCGGAGCGGCCCTGGGGCGCGGCGCGACCGAACGCCCCCGCCCGGAGCACGCGGCGCGCCAGGCGGGCAGCGAGCGGCCCGCGGCCGCCCCTCCGCCGGCCTAACAGCCCCGCGGCCCTCGGGCGGGGCGAGGCTCCGGGACATGGCGCCCGCGGGCCTCTCGCACCGGGCACTGACCTGTCCTCCGAGTCCATGCGGCTCAGCGGTTCCCCGTCCGAGGACATCTCCAGGCTGCCCCGCCGCCCCCCCGACGCGGCGCTGCAGCTGCTGCTGCCGCTGCTGCCGCCGCCGCCGCCGGTGCCGTAGCCCTCGTCGCCGCCGCTGGACACGCTGCTGGAGCTGCTCCCGCCGCCGCCGCCGCCGCCGCGGCCCAGCCCGCCCTCCTGGCCGCCCCGCGGGCCCTTGGGCTCCTCCTTGGCGTCGGCCTCGCTGCTGCCGCCGGGGCTGAGCGAGCGGGTCTCGTCGCTGCAGCAGCCGCTGCTCGTGCTGCTGCTGCCCACCAGGCTGCTCTCCTCCTCCTCGCCGCCCTCCTCCTCCTCCTCTTCCTCCTCCTCCTCGTCTTCGTCCTCCCCGTCCCCGGCCTGGCTGGCGCTCTCCGGGCTGGGCTCCGACATGCTCTCCGCCTCACCGTTCAGCAGCAGCAGCGACTCCGTCTCCGCCGCTGAGGACGGAGGCGACGACGAGGAGCCGACCCCGGCGGCGGCGGCGGCAGCGGCCGCCGCCTCCTCCTCTTCCTCAGCCGCGGCGGCCGCCGCCTCGCCGGGAAGAAGCCCCTCCGGCTCCGCCATGTCGCTGCGAGCGGCCGCCATGGCGCCTGCGAGTCTCTGCGAGCCGAGCCGAGCCGAACGGGGCCGAGCCGAGCCGAACGGGGCCGAGCCGAGCCGGGCGCGCGCAGTGGCGTGCGCGCGGCCGGTGCGCGCGTGCCCCGGTTTGTGTGTGCGCGCGGCCGCGCTCCCCCCGCCCTCGCCCTTCTCACCCGCACAATCGCGCGGCGGCGCGAGCCGCAAAGAGGAGGGGCCCGAGCCTCCACCGCCGCACGCGCTACGGAATGCGCCCGGGGACAAAAACCTGCGGGAAGGCGGAGCGCGCGAGTCTTGTGTGCTGAGCGTCACCGGCGGGCACCGGGCGGGGGGGGGGGGGGGGGGAGGATGCCAGGCGGCCGTCGTTCGCCGCCCCGCCTCTGAGGCGAGACTCGCAGTCACAGGACGGCGTCGGGCTCGGGGGCGAAGAGAAAAACTGAGCGAAGTGTGGGGAAGGAAGGCTTCGGAGTTGGCTGGATAGGGAACGGCGTGCCTTCTCAAGAGAAGGGAAAAAGGCCCTTCAACAAGGAGAGTGTGTGACTCTGCCCTGTGAGAATCGCTAAAAGAGAGAGCTGAGCTGGGACACAAAGGGGACGGAAAGACGTTTTCAGTGGCACTGGCAGAAAGAAGCAAAAGAGTTGTCCTGCCGTCCATCAGGAGATGGCCGCCTGTAGTGCAGCCTCACACCTCTGTTTGCCATAAGAAGCTTCCAGGCTGCGGCGTGGCCAAGGCTGCATGCAAAATGCACGTCACTGCCCGAAGTGGAAATAAAAACAGAGAGTTAAATGTGCTAAAACTAAGGCAATTGGTTAATATTTTCCACACAAAGTCAGGCCGAGGGTTGGAAGAGTGAGGGCTGGTAAATTCGCTGAGTTGGGAATGTTGCCATGTGAAGTAAAATAGATGGAGAAGCGAGAAGGATGAGAGGAATGGCCACCAATCACATACAAGACTTCAGAACAGACTTTGTCAATTAAAGTCATTTTAATATTAAAAAAAAGTGAAAGGGAGGGATGAAGTTTACTCAAGGCAGATCATGCCAGACATCACTTCTTTTTTTGTTTGTTTGTTTGTTTTTGTTTTCCTTGTCTGTATAGGTGTCTGTATGTATACATTTAGTAAATTGTCACATGGAAATGATCAACAATCCGTATGGGATGGGGATTTTTGGTAGCATCCAGACACAGATGAAATTGGGTAATCTGGCTAATTTTTGGCGGTGGGAAGAGTACTACTATTTCATATGGATTTTAAATGGGGTATATAGATTATTCATGTTTTATCCAATTCTTACTGAACTTGACATGTTAAAAAATAAAAATAAGAAATCGTGAAGCGGAGACGGTTTAGCTTAAGAACAGATGACAAAACTGAACCACAGCTCAGGCCAGAAAGACTTTGTTCTCTGTGCAACAGGAAGAGTACCACCTCCTCAAGTCGTAGCAGGCATATCTGGCATTGCCACAGAGAAACAGGAAAAGTTAGCCACAGAGGATTAAAATCAGGGGAGGGTGCTCATGAGCCCTACATCAGCACAAGCAGGGCTGGCTGCCCGCCCATCCATCTGCATGCATATCTGTCCGCAGCAACACCAGCAGCCCTCTGCACAATGCCAACACAGAATGCCACAGTGCTGCGGGAGCACCGCAGCCTTGGAGCAAAGGGATGTGACATTGCATTCATCTTTTTTTTGAGCAAACAAATGACATCTTTAACCTGCAGAGGAGCGTAAGCGAATCTGTGAGACTAACAGCAGTAGGAACGCATGGTAGTTTTCCAGATTTTCTCAAAACAAGCCTCAGCTAGACATTGGAAATGGCAAGAATATTTTAAAACAAATGAGGACGTGTGTAACGCTGCTTCACCTGCATAGTGTAAGAGTCGCTGCTCCACTGACTCCATCGAAACAATCTCCGAACCCAGAGCCTCTCGACACCCCACCTCCCCCCGAGTAACAGCGTGCTCTGTACTTCCCTCTCAGCCTACAGAGGTGTGGCACTCCCGTGGGTGTTATTGTCACTAATCTCATCAGACACGAAGAGCGAGGTCTGGAAAAAAAAAAAACAACAACCTTTCGATTCAGTCAGAAGGCAGCAGTGGCTGAAGCAATTGCTGTGCCTCTTCTACAACTGATTTCCCTCTGGAGTTGACTGAAATCAGCCGTGGCGATGGGAGGGACCGAATCACGAGAAAACAAAGATCTAAATGGAGTGAAGTGAAAGGCACCTTTCGCAAGTGAGAACGAGCAAAGAAAGGAAGTAGGAAACATGTATCTCAAAGAACTCCGTGCACCCTCGTGTGTGTTATCCGAATTCATCCCACCGTGTTCACGAGCCCGTAGCTGTGTGCTTTTTTCAGAACTCTCGGGTTCTTTGAGGTCATGTGCGTTCACCGGGTTCCCAGTGTCTGTGCGCCGGGAGGTGACGGGGGATGCAGACCTAACACTTCTCACTTCCTTAAGTACTGCAGTAGGGACGCCGGCTCGTTGGGTAATTTGTGTATTCGGAGAGAGGGAGTGAAACCTTAGGATAGGATGCATAGGAAGGAGGGTACGAACCCGCCTAATGGCAATCACTTAGCGTTTAAAGCAGGAGATCAGTGCCGCAGCGGTGCAGCAGTCATCAAAGAAATACCCTGACGATCTTTACTGCCCTACTTTCAGTTCTTTGAAACCACGAAATCCTGCATGAAGGCTTGGTCCGTGAGCTCCCTAAAGTGCTAAGATAAAGTCCGAATCAAGCAGAAGCAGCAGTGATGACTTAGCTCTCTTGTTACTGACATTCCTAGGTCACAGTTCAATCAGCTCAGAAAAGGTAATTCTCCTTTTTCTTTCTCGCAGGTTTTTGACTTTTTCATACCCTGGTTCCAGTCAAAAAATGAGATCTGTCTGAGAACAGGTGAGTCTTAAACTTGGTAGTGTCAAAATCAATTGCATTTGAACGGTCTGATAAAAGCCCAAAACAAGAGACACCCTGCTAGGAAATCCATTAGAAAATAAATAACTTACACATTCAGTTACACTTCAAGGGAGGATGTTACTTTGTCCTTCACACAAAGGGCTCTGGTATGCTCAGTCTAATTTGAGATGATCATTACAACAGGGACAGTACTTTAGAGCTGATGTAGTTATGCCGAAACTTAATAATCCGTGGTACTTGGAAGACTTTCTCGACAAGGTACAAAGGAAAGGAGAAAAAAAAAAAACAACAAACAGCAGGTTAGTGAAAGCTAACCTGCTCTTAGGCAAAGAGCTGAAGTAGTGCTGTTCTCCAGTAGTACAAGAACAAACAGCCCAGGCAATCTGGAGGAGATTTGAATTCCTTTGCAGACACAGACATAGCAGAGCATGGGGAAGAAATGAAGAGTGTAGTTTTCTTTGTCTTACCTCTGAACCACAGGGGTGCAGGGAATTCACACTGACAGCAGAATCAATAGTGAGCAGACTCCAAAGCAGTTTCTTCTTTTTCTTGAGACACAACAACTTTGTGTTTTGTTTTGCTTTTTTAAAGAACAGTTGGATGAGATCGTCAGAAGATTTGGTACATGCAGTGCAGTCTGTTTGAGCTTTTCTTCCCAGTGTTGATCAGCATCATAACACTATGAGGCATAGTACACAAGCAAAACAAACCAGTAAGAAAGGCCTACAAAGAAAGAAAAATATGTACCATTGGCCTAAGCTACAGGAAAAAATGCCACCCTGCACTTGTTAGGATGGCATGGGAAATTCTGTGAAACGGCACGCTTGATCACTGCACTGTCCTGCTCCTGCCTCCACATGCATGTCTTAAACACTGCAGGAAATTCCTGCTGCCTGCACCTCATGACTCACCTTGCTCACAACATTCTGCCCGCTCAGCAGTCTCTGGAGACTGCACCCTCCCCTTCTCTCTGCCCCACCCTTCCTCATCCAAATTCCAGGTCTTGAGGAAGAAGCTGCAATCGCCCATTGCTTCAAGTAAGCATCCAGCGCTCATTTCTCACCCTTCCCTTCAGACCAGACTGAAACCGCCTTATTCTGCAATCCCAACCCCACCCTCTCCTACAGCACCCAGTTAATTCTCCCTTTAAACTCCCTTCCACGGTGTTTTCTTTTTAAAGCTTTAATCTTCCCCTGTGTTGTTTGCTTGAAAGCAGGCCCATGACCATAGGAAAATTCAAGCACTGTTTAGGTTGGTTCAGTCAAAGGAAGGCTGCCAGAAACGTGTATTAGCTGAAGTCCCTCTTCTGTCCCCGCTGGCCTGTGAGCTGTCTCTGGTGTTGAAAAACACTTTGGCAATGTGGATTCCAGATATTGCTTGGGTCTGTCTGCCTCTTCTGCCCTCCCCAGATCTTGTTACAGCCCTCATGGGGACACACTGCCCCTTCTGTTGTGCAGCACAGCTGGCTGGGAAACTCATGCCATGAGCTACAACAAGGGACTGATTTTAGTGGTAGCTAGGATAAAAAAATATATAATATAACGCCGTTCTGTTGATGTTGAGTCAGGAAAATTCAGAAAGCTTCAGACAGCTCTATTAAATGTAACAATGCGCACTACAGGGATGGGGAAAAATGTATGTATTAAAATGCCAGCAGTTAGTTCAGGAGTAGAAAACCCCATTCTGTAGTTCTGGAACTTATCCAAAAGCATATCCTAATGTTCACTCTGTTTGCATTTGAGCAATTGTAACAACTTGCAAGATCAGAGCACCCATGTGCTGAGCCGTGTATGCACACAAACAGTAGGAGGAAGCCCATGCTGCATGTAGATACTCTGACACAAGTGGAAGGAACCAGATATTTTACAAACGCATCTTCTTTAAAATACATTCTAATTGATGTCAAATTTGCTGCCACATGATACCAAAAGAAAATACAAAAGAAAAACAAAAGAAAAAAGCATGAAGATGTGCTTTTGAGCACGAGGAATTGGAAGGCCTCATAATATGGTTCATTTACGTAGGTTACTGCTTGTTGCAAAAACTGAAACTGAAGCACAGAATTTCAAATAGACACTGTTTAGGTAAGGTAAGCTAG